AACATTTTAGTATTTCTAATGTACGAAAATACCTCACGCAAGATTTAAATGTTGTCAGATGTATTGACGCTTTATTAATTGCATTTTGAATTTTATAAAATTTCAAATTCTGACTGATAACTGAAAGAAGTGTTAAAAAAAATAAACCTAGGCAAAATTCAGTAGAAGAAGGTTTTGATGCGCAAAAAATCAGCGCGTGCATATCGATATATTGCTCAACTATATGTATAACAAAATGTGGCAGAGTTGGCAAAGAGAAATAACAAAAACAAAAAGAGAGAGAGAGAGAGAGAGAGATCAAATCTTGCAAAAGATGAGAAGAGAGGGTGAGAAAGAGAAAGAGGAAGAGTGAGTTGTCGCGTTATTTTGAGCCTGACTCGAAGGCTAAACAGCAGAGCAGATTGCGCGCTCGCGAATTCTCAACAATACATCGGTCTCTTCTAGAACATTCTGTCTTTTCATTTACCGTTTAATGTATTCCTAGTTCTTTCTATTATCATTCATCGAGACATCGTTAGACATTATGTTGTTGCAATAATTTTTCAGTTATTTCACTTTTGTATGTTTATGTATATTTTTTTTGTATATTTCCAACTCTGGGAGAATAATATTTTTATATTTCTCTTGATATTTTACTTTTCAGGAACAAACAAAAACGCTTTTTACCACATTATACATATTTCTTATACCATAAGTTTACATATCTGTAACACTGACATAAAATTCCAAATTTGATAAAAAGATAAGTGAATTATTTTTCCCAGATAAACTAAAAAAAATATTCAAGTCAAGTATATTAAATATTGATAAACTATATATGATATAAATAAATACTAATTTATAATTTGTGAAAGAAAGCAAAATCTTTACTAAAGACCTACCAAATACTAAATGCGCACACACATACATATATGTGTATATATATATACATACATATAAAAATGTATTGTATCGAATATATACCCTATTCATGTCCGATTTGTATCCTTCGTGTAAATGTTCTTTTAGAGAGAATATTGAGGTCAACTCGAAATAACTCCAACTAACCGTTCTCGTGATAGCGACAATGGCGTGAGTCGAGCTAACATATCACAGAAGCATCGGAAATGAATTCAATCTCATATAACGATGTAGATATTACAGCGTGAGTTACAACGTGCGCGTTTCTTTCTCTCTTTCTCACGTGCGCTCTCACTTATTAATACCGTTACAAATAAGAGTCGCGATGTTACAGCGGATTAGCGAAATCATCTTGTCGTTGAATCATAATTGGCGTGCAGCACCTGACTCTGTTCTATTGACACTGACACACTGACATCGTTTCTACGACGACGGCAATAAGAAAACACTCGATTGCGTTTTTTCATTGAAGAGTATATTTCTTCCATATCTTTTGTTTATATATATGGACCGTTTATTTTGAAAGTGGTGTAAGTCTATTTTTGAAAAAAATGAGATATCACGTAATTCATAATTGACAGATATGTTAACCTATAAGTTTATCGAAACAAAAGAAAAAATGGACTTACACCACTTTCAAAATAAACGGTCCATATATATATATATGTGTATATATATATATGTGTGTGTATGTGTATATATATATATGTACATATGTAAATTTTCAGTAACAAAATGGCACAATATTTTTGCACGTGTTAAAAGAACGATGACGTTCATAGTGACGTTAATATATATACTCTTTCAGTCAAACATAATTAATTAGTCCATTATTAGCGTGTTTAAAAACGTTTATAACTATATGGCTCGGCAAAAACAAGCAAATTTTATCTTAAGCATCTTTGCATTGAGACCGCATGTAATGAGGAATAGTTAAAATATTGCGTCATATAAGTTGTATATAAGCGAGAGAAAGCATTAAGAAAAATAAGACTTGCGAAGCAGAACAATAAATCGAAGTTTCAAAACTCTCTCCCTCTCTCTCTCTCTCTCGCTTAAATCTGAATTTAATTTTTCTAAATAATCTAATCACTTTTCTAAAACAATCAGCAATCGAGAAACTAACACGAGAGACAAAATAGAATGTGAATTTCTGAATTAAAAAAAAAAAACGCAACACATTTTAGTCAAATAAAATTATTTCAGTTAGATAAAGAAACACATAACAAAAAATACACAATTTTCGTTCTAAATATCGCATATATTTTGTATCTTTATATTTTGCAGTATCTCGGATTTTTGACCTCATACTTCTGTGACGTCACGAAAAAACCAGCATCTTCCACCCGCTGTGTGTCGAGGAAAACGCGGCTGAAGCGGAAAAGATTCATCGTTTCTTGGACAACGATAAAGTCTCTAGAGGGAAAATCCAGGACACATGTGGCTGGTTCGTAAAATAACGAGATTTATTTTATAGACAGAGATGGATCGGCCGTAAAACGTCGCGCGGAACGACCTGTGACGTTTTTCCTGCTTCTTGAAACACGGTAGTAGCGCGCGCAAGCGCCCTATAATATTTCCGATATTTTCTTTAAGTGACTTTACTACGTCGTACCACACACGTGTTTCTTTATCCTTTATTTATGTATATACGAATTAACACACTTCGACGTAACGAAAATAATATATTATGTTAAAAGTGACAATTATTTGAAGCAAATGTGCTAATATATGTATTAACTCTTATTAATATACACCAGGCACATTATAAAGAATTATTCAACTTTATATATAGATACACGCAACACGTATTTTGCAGTCCGCACAGTTCACTTTTAATATATATTTTTTATATAAAGAATGTACGAAACTTACACGTGGCACTCGATATATATTTACTTCACTGACACATTTGCAAAACTAAGGAAATGCGACTGCCTAACCCATTTGCATCACAAAGAAAAGTCCAAAATTCGTCCTTATCACCAAAATTTTTTTTTACTGTATTTAAATTTTAATGAAAATGTTACAAAATATGAAAAATAAAATCAATATTGCATAAAGAATTTTTGTATTTTTCTGGTATAAATAATATGCGCTTTGGTGATAAATGCCTAAGTAAAATGCGCGCGTATATGCGCTTATGATGCAAATGGGTTAAGAATCAAGTTAAATGACGAGAAACGATAATCCTACTTGAATAAGAAAAAATTCATGTCGCCTGTTGAAACAAACACACGTGTGTATGTGCGTGCGTGCGTGAAAAACAAAAACATTTGTCAAATAAATATCGAGATTATTTAACCGTAGATTTATCGGCTATTTGTTAATAACGCGTATCAAAATGCAAGCGAATGCTCGCGACGAAGAGATTTAGTTGCGTCGACGTCAAAGTATTATCGTACAGTAACGATAACACCGACAAGAAAATTGCTTTCTTCACGTCTTGCAAATTTCTTGTCAGTACGCGATATAAGTGTGCTGGCAAAAATAAATTTATAAGAGCGGAGCTTCGACAGATGGTAACGCTACAAGATGAATCATGCGGTTGGCGTGCAACAAGCGCATTGTTCTCAACCTGCTTCTCTATAAGGATATTGTTTTTGCGTTTGAATATTTTTTTGTGCAAGTTAAATTGCAGCGTGTTGATTTTTTGCAAGAAACGTTTGAACGACGAAACATCGATACACAGTTCCGTGTGTATATTTTATATATATACATGTATCTTTATTAAAATATTTTAATAAAAATCAGAGTAAATTATAAAATCCCGAGAAAACTTTTTTAAAGCTGTACCAACAACAAATACAACAAATTGCAAGTGTGTTGTTCAGTTTTTTCACTCATATATAGTTTTAAAAAACTTGCAATCATTTCTCTACGAAAACATGATAAACAAGTTTAGAAAATAATGCAATATAAGCAAGACGATCGTACAAGAGACGACGCTTGCAAATTGGCCGATCGCAAAAACACTTGCGCAATACTGAAGCGAGACATGACGAGGAAAGAGAGATCGCGATAGTAATCACGACCGTTGTCGCAGACTTTATGTTCGTTTATCATATGACGTATTTTTCCTGCCGTAAGAAAAATAGGATATCACCAAGGAGATGCAAAAATAACGACGTTTTTTGACGTATGTCGCAACGTGTGTGTAAGATGTAAACGTCACGATACACGTGCGACTATCGACCGATCGGCATCTCGTTTGAACGGCTGGAATTGAAAGCTCGAAAGAAATCGCGATAGATGACTCTGTGAGTTTTCGTGCCTGGAATCGATTATTTCGTGACAATAATATGGATGATAATTTTAATGCGACGCTCGTTATCAAAGTCGCCGCGCGAATGATAATGACGAATTATTTGAACCCGTATATTCATTATTAGAGATCAAAAAGTTAAACGCGCAGATGAAAAGTTTCGTATAATATTTGACACAATTTCATATTTCCATACGATATTAACGCGCGCGCTACTCGACATTTAAGTGAAAAAAAAAACATTTGTTTCCAAGCGAGAACGCCGTCAGAATGCCCCCAAATTGTAACACGCAGTTTTCCGATCATGCGTCATTCTACTGAGAAGCGGAGACAGCTTATCTATTTCTATGAATAATCTCAAATATTGTGAGTTAATTGGTAATCAAAAATCGTTACGAAATCGCTTATCCCGAGTAATTTCAACACATAACTTTTGAAATCATATAAATTCTTTTTTTTTTTATATCAGCTTTTTCATGTCAGTCAGATTAAAACGTGACTGACGGTTTATTGTTTTTTTTTTCTATTGACAAACGTATATTTCTTTATCTATCTTTTTCTCTTTCTCTCTCAAGCATAACTTCGAATATAATATCTGATTACATGTGATAAGCCAACTGACAAATCGTCGACAAATCTTCTTGCTTTGAAAATTAGATTTGCGCCGTAGTAGTACGCGCACACGTAAGAGAAGTGCAAAACTTTATAAGCGTAATATTTCGCGACGATGAACGCTATGCAGCAGCAACACGACGACGGAGTTACACGCGCGTGATGTTGGCTGATTACGTGTCATTTCGCAATAAAAGCAAAGTGGCAAGAAGGGAAAACTCACAGCGCGTTCAGGATACGACGACAACGACGCCTGCTGTCGTCGGGGTTACCGAAAACGATCTCGACGGCGAGTTATCACCGCGCCGGTCACACGTAGCACTCGTCAACAAGCACGGCAAAGGCACTCTCATTCTCTCGCCGAGTTCCCCGTACTTCGAGATTGCGTCGTGATAGAAACAGCACGAGGGGAGCGGCTAATCCAAGAAGCGCGCGCTCCTCTGCTCGCCGTACATGGAAAAATTATCAGACGACTTTATCCGAAAAGGGAACTCGTGGCGAAGAGAGAACACAATTTTTGATTTTTTTTTTTTTTTTTTACGCACAATGTCGCGAGAACAGATGATGACGTGTATCACCGATATAACGCGCACAAGTGGAAGTACGGCGAAGAAAGAGAAGATCGTAGCCGAGATGCACCAGAGCACTGTGCTTCACGCGCAAGACGACGCGATTACTTGGCGTAATGCACACACACACACACACACATATATATATATATATTATACCACACACTCGCGGCGTATATACGGAGATAATGCACACACTCACACGCGTAGACCGAACGTCATACGGCGGTTTTAAAGAAAGATGCGACAGAAGATGAAGCGCGGCGCGCGGAACGTTCCGCACCAGACGATGGTCGACGAGAAACTGGCACCTTCCGGTCGCAATCGGTAGAGGGAGAGAGGTCAAGGGGAAAGGAGAGGGGAAGCAGCGGGCGGGAAAGAGTAGTAGAGACGCGCACGCCGCACGTACGTGCGTACTCGCGGCAGCGTGTGTGGGTGCCGTGTATATCGATACGCGGCGAGCAGGGAGGAGCGCGTGTCCGCGCTGGTTCTCTCCGAGAGAGCGCGCGCGAAGAGAGAGTAAGGGAGAACGAACGAGGAAGAGCGTAGAGTGGGAGAGAGAGAAAAGGAAGCGCGAATGGAATATAGGAGAGGAAAATCCGCGACACTAGCGACCACCGTCACGGGAACGACCAACTATTCCTCGCTCTTGTGAATGTGAGAGAGAGTCTCGAGAGCACGCGAAAACGAGAGAATCGCGAGAGAGGACGAGGAAAAGAGAAGAGAGAAGCCGCGTAAGCGAGCGAGCGAGCGAATAAATACGTGTGAGCGCACGTGTCGATATGCATGCGTCGTTGTTTCCCATGTGTGTGTGTGTGTGTGTGTGCGCGAAGAGAACACACGATGAAGAAAGATGGAAAGAGCGCAATGCGAGAAGATCGAGTGAGAGAGACACGAGAGACATGGGAAGGAGCGAGAGTTCTGAAACGAGAAGAAAAAAGATGGAATACGAAGAAAGAGAAGGCAGAGACAGAGAGAGAGAAAGAGAGGGAGCGCGGAGCGAGAGAGAGAGAGAGAGAGAAAGAGAGAGAGAGAGAGAGAGAGAGAGAGAGAGAGAGAGAGAAGGGAAGTGAGAAAGAGTGGGAGATTATCAAAATGGCCGCGCGCGTAACCTACTCCACCGTCCTCTCCACCTCTTCCGCGCACCTCCACCACCTCCAACGCCGCGCTATTTCTCCGCTATGCCTCCACCTTGTTCGAGCGGGTCTGCGTCGCGTCGCGCGGAAACCGCCCGGCTTGTAATGTCGTCCGATGTATATAATAGTGGTGAACTATCGTGAGTCTCTCGCGCTCGCGAGCCAGCTTGATGATAGTGACGACTCGTGTGCTCGGATGCGCGATGTATAATGTGTACAAACTGGAAAATGGAGTGAGAGCGCATAGTACGAGACAGTAGAAGTTGTCGTCCGCGTCAAAGTCGAAGTGGAGAGAAAACCCTTAACAAGATCCCGGGGAGATTAGGCAAAAGTTATTTCTCCCTTCAATTAACACTAGGCGAAGCAAACTAATTAAATAACATGAAACAATTATCAATAAAATAATCGAATCGAATGAATTGTACAATAAAATTTGCCACAAGAAAATCTGTTAGATAAATTGATAGAGAGATTATACACACACACACATATATATATATATATCATATTAATATAAATAATAAATATCTGTACATATACAGTTAACACAGAATTCTCGCTAATTATTAGCAGGAATTGATGCAAATCGGTATCGGTGACATCGCAAAAAGCTTCATTAGTTATGTTTCGCATCATCTTGCATTCAAAGCGTCCGCACCGGTGTAAATAATTAAAAGCAGATAGCTCACTGTTTCAGCCGTAACGATTAATCGTCGTTTATGAGTAATAAGCGCGGCGGCAATTTGTTTGTGTGGGGGGGGGGGGGAATATTGCGCGAGCGACAAGACACCTGCATTATGCACACGCGTTTCGCGTGCGCGATACGTAATTACGATAATTAACATGTCACGCGTAATGCAACGCGGTACGTGGGAATAATTCAACGTCGTCGCGAAAAATTGGCCGCTACCAATTAATCCGTCCCGCTCTCAGGAGGAGCTATCTAATTGCACGTGGCTGATTTTACCGTAACGCGCGTGAGCTCGTGTACCCTACGCGCATATACAGGGTGTCCCAGAATTGGTTTAACATCTCTCGTACACAGATAGAAGGAATAAAACTGAGGTGAAAAGTCCTATACCATTTTGCTAGATTCGCAATAGTTACCGAGATTTTAAGTAACAAAAATCCGCGAATAAGCGTGCATCTTACGCGCGTAAGACAGCCCGATGCATGTTTATTCGCGGATCTTTGTTAATTAAAATCTAAGAAACTATTGCGAATCTAGCAAAATGGTATAGGACTTTTCACCTCAGTTTTATTCCTTCTACCTGCCTACGAGAGATGTTAAACCAATTCTGGGACACCCTGTATATATCCGCGTATTGCGTGTATATTTATGATAGTCGCAGACGAAAAAGCTCTCTCCAGCGAAATCCTTTATGTACGTTAAGTTAGCCCCCCCCCTTTAGAAATTCACTATAAAATTTATATACAAATTAAGTGCTATTTAGGTGCTAATTAGGTGCCCAATTAAAAAATTTGGTGCTCAAGTCGTTTGGCAGAAAATTAAAATTAAAGTGGGGGGGGCTGACTTAACGTCAAGCTGGCCCCCCCCATATTAAAAACTTATATTTTCAGTAACAAATTCTACATCAAAATTAGGTGCTATTTAAGTGCTAATTAGGTGCCCAATTAAAAACTTTGGTGCTCTAGTCGTTTGGCAGAAAATTGACATTAAAGTGGGGGGGGCTGACTTAACGTCAAGATGGCACCCCCCATATTAAAAAATTATAT